GAGAGAGAGAGAGACATCAGCACTGCCAAAAAAAAAAAAGGGGGGGGGCCGGGGGGGGGGGCGCGTGGGGGGCCTCTGAAAACCGTCCAAAAGAAAGTGGGGAGATGGGAAAGGGGTCGGGAATTGGGGTCCCGCTCGCCGGCAGCCCGACCCCGCGCCGAGGGGGTGCCCCCAACGCGCAACCCCGTCCCGGGGGGACATCCCAGGAAGCCCCGGGAAAGCGGGAAGGAGGGGTTGCTCGTCTCCATGGGGAGGCCCATGGGGTGGCGTGCGGGGAGCCCGGGAGCAGGAGGAGGAGGAAGAGGAGCAGGAGGAGGAGGAAGAGGAGCAGGAGGAGCAGGAGGAGGAGGAGGAGGAGGAGGAGCAGGAGGAGGAGGAAGGCGAGAGGGTGCTGCCCAAATACTCACTACACGGAGCAAACCCGGCAAGGAGAGACTCACTTGAGGGAAAGGCGCGGATCACCGTACGGAGCGTAAGGAGAAATGTTTAGGATAAACTCCTTGGGAGGGTAGGAGCTCCATTTCTGCTGCACTGTGTTGTCATTGTTATTCCAAAAGTCTCTGTCTAGATCGCTACAGCGGCCGGATTCCGGGGAAGAAAAGAAAAGGGAAATACAAGAGAGAGAAGCTGAATTCCTGCGGGAAAGGGGAAGGGAAAGCAGCGCTCTGGCCCCGGAGCGCCGGGATCCTGCGGAGAGAGACGGGGAGCGCGGCTGCCCATCCCTGGGACACCGACACACACACACACACGGACGGGGACAGACGGATGGATGGAGCAGGGAAGAGCTGTGGAGAGACAGGAGCGGGCGGCTCCACCGGCTGGGAAGGAGAGAAGGATGGTGGGAATTAAGGAGCGAGCGTGGTGCCGGCACGGCATTCCCGTGTGTGTCCATGTTGCCTCCTCAACAGGTCCTGGAAGTGCGCCCTGCATGGTTAACCACGTGTTGGAGACCCTTCCGGATCCCTTCCTGCTGCCAGCATGGAGCCTGGAATTCCTGGCTCCGGGAAGCCACCAGATCTGTGTGCCAGGGGTTGGGGGCCCAGAGGGTCCCCGCTGGGAGACTGGAAAAGCCGCCGCTGCCCGGCCCTCCCAGCCCTCGCCAGGGCCCACCTGCAGCTCTGGGATGATCCCGGCTGTGCCGGAGCTGGGGAGGGAAAGCCACGCGTGCCGGGATTCAGGAGGGGATGTGCTTCCCACTCCACTTCCAGCACATCCCAGCTGGGCTGGGAGCAGCCTCCAGGTGCCTGAGGTACCCTGGACACCTGCACCCCAACAACACCATGGGAGGAGGTTTTCCATAGCATTACTCCAGGCAGGAGCTCTTTCCCTGCTGCCGGTCCGGCTCCCTCCTCCCTGGAGCCCTGCGGGGGGTTTCCAGAGGCAGCACTGGATCTGGGATATCCAGGAGAGCCCCTCCAACTTCCAACCCCGCACTTCATTCCCTACCCAGAGCCACGAGACACTTCAGCTCTGCTGTCCTTCCTGCACGGAATGCCCCTGGGATGCAGAGCCATCTGCACACCCAGACCTGGAGCATCCCTGGGCTGAGGCTCCCGTGGCTCCATCCTATGGCTCCGTGGGATACACAAGGATGCGGGAGAGACCCACCAGCTCTCCCAGTGTCCCGGAGCCCCTTTCCCGCTGGGAGTGGGGAACCAGGGAATGGCCACCTCTGTCCTTCCTCTCCCCCCCAGTCCTGGCACCTACTTGATGGTTTTCTTTTCGCTGCGGCCTCGGCTGGAATCCGGAGTTCCCACGGTCTCCAGGGAAGTCTTGTAACGCTTTCCCTATGGAAAAGGCAGGAGGGAGGAATGAGGGAGTGGCAGGGGACCCCTGGAGTGTCCCAGCAAAGGATGGGAGCTGCCTCCATCTGCTGAGTTCGTCCCAGATTTCACCCTTTTCCCTTATTCCCTCGCAGTCTCCAGGCCCCATCCCACCCATCGAAGCAGCAAAATTCCCAGTTGCTCCGTCCCGTGATCCCTGGGGGCTCGTGCCCCACATCACCCCAAGGACAGGACGGTCACCGCCTCCGGTGTCCCATTCCAAGGCCTCACCGGGAAGCAGCGGATAATTTTAGGCTTAATTGAAGCTGGATTAATTGAGTTCACCTTTCCCAGTGCCCGGGAAGCACTGCCGTGGGATAATGAAGCCGGAGCTGGCTCCTAACTGGGGCTGGTAATCAGGACACTCCGGCGGGTTCCGCACGCTCGGAGCCTGGAGCGCAATTAGCGCCAATTAGGCAACAATTAGGAGCCGAGGAGGCTCCAGGTGGGAGGGGACCAGCTCCCGCAGCAGGATGGGCTGGAGAACCGGCCCTTCCACCACGCTGGGCCTGGAGCTGGGAGCATCCCCCCTGCATCCAGCCTGCCCAGAGAATGGGAATATTTCTCCCTTCTCCTCCTTCCCAGCCTCTGCAGCTCCACACAGAGCCAAGTCCTTGGAATGCTGAGACACCTGTGCTCTTGGCACAGCGTCCTTGGGCAGCCATGGGCTGATCCAGCTGGGAGCTGCCAGGGTGTTGGAACTCCTTGGATGCCCGTGGGCTAATCCTCCTGGGAGCTGCAGGAATGTTGGATGTCCTTGGATGTCCATGGGACATCAGCTGGGAGCTGCAGGGGAACACCTGGATCTCTTTGGCTGTCCACAGGCTGATCCTGCTGGGATATTGGATGCCCACCCATGGGTTGATCCTGCTGGGCTCCGTGGGGATGTTGGAACGTGGATGCCCTTGGACTAATCCTGCCAGGAGCTGAGGGGAACACCTGGATTTCCTTGGATGCCCATGGGCTAATCCAGCTGGGATCTGCAGGGATGTTGGATGTCCTTGGATGCCCGTGGGCTAATCCTGCTGGGAGCTGCAGGGCAACACCTGGATCTTCTTGGATGCCCGTGGGCTAATCCTGCCAGGAGCTGCAGGGATGTCGGACCTCCCTGGACGTCCACAGGCCATCCTGGAGGGAGTCGTCCCTGAGCCTTGGGCTCATCCCTGTCCCGGCTCAGGGCTCGTGAGGACACGGCCCTCCCGGCAGTGGCCGCGTGGGCACATCCCGGAGCCGGGCCCGCCGGGCTTGGCCGTCATTCCCACGCAGCCGTTCCAGCTCCGGGTTGGAGCTGCCGAGGGCCGGTTGGGATTCGCCTTCCCAGCCAATTTACACTTGTTTGTTCCCCTGCCAGTTCGTCCTCCTCCTTTCCAGTGCTTATCCCTGCCTCTCCACATCTCCTGGAGGGCACCTGGAAGCCTCTTCCCACCCTCCACCTCTCCCATTCCCGGGGGAATGCTGCCTTCCCAGGGCTCAGGGCGGGCATCTCCCACACGGGAAGCGCCGCTGCCGTCGGAGCACTTGACCCAGATTCGATTCCGACGGCGAAGGAAACGTGGCCGAGCACGTCCTGCTCCCGGGAGAGCGGGAGGAGGAGGAGGAGGAAGGGAGGGAGCGCTGCCCCGATCCACGGTGGGAATGCAGAGGGAAGCGGGCGGCAGGGACGGCTCGTGGTGCCAGGGACGGGCTGGCCGCCTTCCCACGGGGCTTTTCCAGGCGGGAGCGTGCCCAGCAGGACAGGGGCCAGCTCGTTCCGGCTCGTCACCAACATATATCCAGATATTTGGAAACTTCCCTTCGCGCCACGCGAACGGCGGCACCCGAACCTTTCGTTATCCCGGCCGGAAAAACCAGCCCGGAGGAAAGGGGCAGCCAGGGAGTCCCCGGCAGCGGGAATTGCCCCCCGGGCCGGGAAGGGGGCAGGGAATGGTGGCACTCACCATCTTGCGCTGGCACCACTGGCAGATCCCGCAGAGGACGATGGTGGCACTAAGGCTGACGGTGATGATGGCTGAGACCAGCAGCACGTCCCGGGAGGGGCTCCCTGTGGGACACAACAGGGGGGTCACAGGGGATTCCCGGGGGATTCCTGCTGGGGGTGGGGGCGCAGCACCCACAGGGAGCATCTGGGAGAGCCGGGGGAGGAGAGGAAGGGAAAGCACAGCTCCTTCCCCTTCCCGATTTCCAGGCTTCCCCTTGTCCAGCCCTTTTCTTTTCCTCCCTCTTTGCCTTCCTAATGCTCGTCCTTTCCTCATCCTTTCACCTTCTCCAGCCCCCTCCCTTTTTCCTTCCCCTTCCTTCCTCTTCCTCTTCCCTCCCTTCCAGACAAGCAACCCCAGTTTTGTCCCTGGATCCGTGCCCTGCATCCACCCCCCAGTCAGGATTCCCTCTTTGGCTCAGCCAGTCCCACACGGATTCGCCCCAAGCCAGCAGCACCTCCCATGGGGACAACCCTGGGGACCCCACAAATGGATGGGGACCACTCCACTGCATCCAGCACATCATATCCCTGCTCCCAGCCTGTGGAATGGCCCTGGAACTGTGGGAGGATGATCACGGATCTAAGTTGGCTCGGGGGGGGGTCCAGCGGGACCCCCAGACTGGCTCAGCCTTAATTCCAGGTAGGACCTCAGCATGGCATCCCTGTGGACACCTCGCACCCCGCTGGGATGGGGGCCGTCCATGGAGTCGGGAAGCGGCGGCGGGAGCTGTGCTGCGGTATAAATATTAAACAATAATTGTTAATAATTAATTCGCCCGCAGACCTTTGTTATTGTAGCAGATTTTGCCGGCGGCTCCGGGGCCTGGGTGAGTCAGAGGGGACCGGGAGAATGGATTGGGATTCTGGAATCCACCCCCCGCCCCTGCACTTGGAAAAGCACCCACAGCCCCCCCACCTCGGGATGAAAAGGAGGAAAGGGGATGGTGACCACAAAGAGGAGTTTTATAGAAATCCATTCAGGATTAGCTGAGGGTGGTGGGATGAGGGTGGGAGAAGGGTGGGATCCTGCCGGGGATTTAGGGAACAGGGCTGGGGGTCCCACCAGCACTCCCTCCATCCAAAGGCAGCTCCTCCATCGCTCCCGGATCACGAGGAGCCTGTGTATAAAACTCACATAGCAACTGTTGCCTAGGAGGGAATTTGGGACCAGCCCTTAATTTCAAACATTTATAAACCCCGGCTGGATAAGCTGCTGGGGGAATGGAAAGAGCTGGATCTGGCGGGAAGGGCTTGGGACCCCCTCCTCGGGATCCCGACCAGTTCAAGTGGGACGTGGGCTTACTGGGATCGGGGGTGACCCCCCCAAATGCTGCCTCAGCCCCCTCGGTGCTCTCTGATCCGACTTGGGAACGCGGTGACCCCTCTGGCTTATCCCGGAGCTTCCACAAACCCTTCGCTCCCTGCGGGGTCATCCCCAAGTTAATCTGCAGAGAGGGAATCAAAGGAGAAGGAGAGGAAAAGAAGCCACCACGGAGAGGGATATTAGTGAGTTCCAGGGGCCAAGTTCCTAGAGCCGAGGTGCCACCACACGCCCAAGCCTGGCATCACCCGGTGATCCCGATGGATATACCAGCGGGAATCTGCCCGGGGGTGCTCCCCGGGCACGGGGGGTGTTCCAGCCCTTCCCTCTGGGAACACTCATCCCTCAGCCATATCCCCAGGGCGGGGGTAGCGATTCCGGGGGCATCCCTGTGCACGAGGGGGTTCCAGCCCTTCCCGGTGGAAACATGGATCCCTCAGCTCTGTCCCCAGGCTGGGGGAGAGATTCCGGTGCCGTCCCTGTGTCCAGGGGGGTTCCAGCCCTTCCCGGTGGGAATACACATCCATCAGCCGTGTCCCCAGGCCGGGGGGGGCATTCCAGCCCCCCGACCGCTGCCGCCCTCAGCAGGAGTTCGATGGCTCGTTTTCCAGGCAATTAGCGCTTGGTTAATTAAAGAACCGGAGCCGCTCGGAGCTCCCGGAGCGTCCCCAGCCCTGGGGCGCGGTGTGGGGTATCCGCGCCGCTTGGAATGCTTGGAACGGGAATGCCACGGGGCGGGTGGGAACAGGGGGAGCACGGGGAGCAGCGTCGGCCTCGGGAGGGGGTGACAAGGTGACAACGTGGTGCTTGTTCACACCGCCGCTGTCTCTCCTTCCTTAAGTTTCCCAGGCTGCCAGCGCCGATCCAGCCGGGAGCAGGGAGACGGACGGGTGGGACTGGGGGGTCCACACCCCCAAATCCCAAATCCCACCTGCCCTTTGCTGGTCCTGCCTCGTCCCACGGGCGCAGCGAGGGGAGTATCCATGAGACGGAGATCCCACGTCCCCCTCCAAGGGTTTGGGTCTCCCTGTCCCGTCCCACGTGCTGGAAGAGCACCGCGGAGGCTGGGAAGGGGGTGGAACATCCCTGCGGCTCTTTCATCAGGATTCAATGCCACTTGAGGGATATAATTCCGCTTTTCCAGCCGGTTATCGATGAGGGGATTACCTGCCTCGCTAACGCCGCGGCTCTCCAGCAGCGGATTTGTGTGGAGTTGCGGGAGCAGGAGCCGGCTGTGCCGGGGGAGAGGCTCCCTGTTCTAAGGGGAGACGGTTCTGGATGCAGGGAGAGGGTCCCTGTGCTGAGAGGGTCCCTGTTCCAGGAAAGAGGGTCACGGTGCCGCGGGAAGAGGGTCCTGGATGCATGGAGAGGGTCTCCAGGGTGGATCCCTTCCCACACACACCTCTTGGCCAAGCAGGAGACCCCCCCACGCCCCCATGCCCACACCCTGCACCTTGGAGTGGGAGACGGGGGATATTTGGGAGCCGGGGATGGTGGCTGCGATTCCAGCCTGCTGCCACGTGCCCGTCCTCCTTTATCCGCCGCTCCCGCAGGCTCGGGATTAGCTGCCTCCGGAGCGGGAGCAAGCTCCGGCCTTTGTGGGTGTGAGGAAACACTTCAAACCCGACCCCGGCACAAGGAGAGGCACCGAGATCCAAGAGGGATTAGCCCTCCGGAGCAGTGTGTAAGCCAGAGATCCGCCCGGAGGAGGCGAGAGCCGCCGATGCCGACGGATCGGGAACGTGCCGGGGTGGTGGGAGGGGGGCTGTGGCACAGCTGGGCACCCCTGTGCTGGCAGCACGGGCTGGGGACACCCAGGGGTGTCCCAGCCACTCCCAGGTCCTCCTCCTGGAGCTCCAGCCTCGACTCAGTGGCTTTGAGCATCTCGGTGGCCGTGGGCACCTTGGTGACCTTGGGAATCTTGGTGGCTTTGGGAGTCTTGGCAGTCCTGGGCATCTCAGTGGCTTTGGGAATTTTGGTGGCTCTGAGCACCTCTGTGGCCCCGTGCATCCATTGGCTTCGGGTTTGTGTGGCCTTGGGCGAAGTGGTGGCCCTGAGCATCTCGGTGGCTTTGAGTATCCCAGTGTCCCCGGGATCTCCCCGTGCATCCCAGTGTCCCTGAGCATCCCAATCTCCCTGTGCATCCCACTGTCCCTGTGCATCTCAGTGTCCCTGTGCATTGTAGTGGCCTTGGGCATCCCACTGTCCCTGTGCATCCCAGTGTCCCTGTGCATCCCAGTGTCCCTGAGCATCCCAGCGTCCCTGTGCATNGCCTCCGGTGTCCCATTCCAAGGCCTCACCGGGAAGCAGCGGATAATTTTAGGCTTAATTGAAGCTGGATTAATTGAGTTCACCTTTCCCAGTGCCCGGGAAGCACTGCCGTGGGATAATGAAGCCGGAGCTGGCTCCTAACTGGGGCTGGTAATCAGGACACTCCGGCGGGTTCCGCACGCTCGGAGCCTGGAGCGCAATTAGCGCCAATTAGGCAACAATTAGGAGCCGAGGAGGCTCCAGGTGGGAGGGGACCAGCTCCCGCAGCAGGATGGGCTGGAGAACCGGCCCTTCCACCACGCTGGGCCTGGAGCTGGGAGCATCCCCCCTGCATCCAGCCTGCCCAGAGAATGGGAATATTTCTCCCTTCTCCTCCTTCCCAGCCTCTGCAGCTCCACACAGAGCCAAGTCCTTGGAATGCTGAGACACCTGTGCTCTTGGCACAGCGTCCTTGGGCAGCCATGGGCTGATCCAGCTGGGAGCTGCCAGGGTGTTGGAACTCCTTGGATGCCCGTGGGCTAATCCTCCTGGGAGCTGCAGGAATGTTGGATGTCCTTGGATGTCCATGGGACATCAGCTGGGAGCTGCAGGGGAACACCTGGATCTCTTTGGCTGTCCACAGGCTGATCCTGCTGGGATATTGGATGCCCACCCATGGGTTGATCCTGCTGGGCTCCGTGGGGATGTTGGAACGTGGATGCCCTTGGACTAATCCTGCCAGGAGCTGAGGGGAACACCTGGATTTCCTTGGATGCCCATGGGCTAATCCAGCTGGGATCTGCAGGGATGTTGGATGTCCTTGGATGCCCGTGGGCTAATCCTGCTGGGAGCTGCAGGGCAACACCTGGATCTTCTTGGATGCCCGTGGGCTAATCCTGCCAGGAGCTGCAGGGATGTCGGACCTCCCTGGACGTCCACAGGCCATCCTGGAGGGAGTCGTCCCTGAGCCTTGGGCTCATCCCTGTCCCGGCTCAGGGCTCGTGAGGACACGGCCCTCCCGGCAGTGGCCGCGTGGGCACATCCCGGAGCCGGGCCCGCCGGGCTTGGCCGTCATTCCCACGCAGCCGTTCCAGCTCCGGGTTGGAGCTGCCGAGGGCCGGTTGGGATTCGCCTTCCCAGCCAATTTACACTTGTTTGTTCCCCTGCCAGTTCGTCCTCCTCCTTTCCAGTGCTTATCCCTGCCTCTCCACATCTCCTGGAGGGCACCTGGAAGCCTCTTCCCACCCTCCACCTCTCCCATTCCCGGGGGAATGCTGCCTTCCCAGGGCTCAGGGCGGGCATCTCCCACACGGGAAGCGCCGCTGCCGTCGGAGCACTTGACCCAGATTCGATTCCGACGGCGAAGGAAACGTGGCCGAGCACGTCCTGCTCCCGGGAGAGCGGGAGGAGGAGGAGGAGGAAGGGAGGGAGCGCTGCCCCGATCCACGGTGGGAATGCAGAGGGAAGCGGGCGGCAGGGACGGCTCGTGGTGCCAGGGACGGGCTGGCCGCCTTCCCACGGGGCTTTTCCAGGCGGGAGCGTGCCCAGCAGGACAGGGGCCAGCTCGTTCCGGCTCGTCACCAACATATATCCAGATATTTGGAAACTTCCCTTCGCGCCACGCGAACGGCGGCACCCGAACCTTTCGTTATCCCGGCCGGAAAAACCAGCCCGGAGGAAAGGGGCAGCCAGGGAGTCCCCGGCAGCGGGAATTGCCCCCCGGGCCGGGAAGGGGGCAGGGAATGGTGGCACTCACCATCTTGCGCTGGCACCACTGGCAGATCCCGCAGAGGACGATGGTGGCACTAAGGCTGACGGTGATGATGGCTGAGACCAGCAGCACGTCCCGGGAGGGGCTCCCTGTGGGACACAACAGGGGGGTCACAGGGGATTCCCGGGGGATTCCTGCTGGGGGTGGGGGCGCAGCACCCACAGGGAGCATCTGGGAGAGCCGGGGGAGGAGAGGAAGGGAAAGCACAGCTCCTTCCCCTTCCCGATTTCCAGGCTTCCCCTTGTCCAGCCCTTTTCTTTTCCTCCCTCTTTGCCTTCCTAATGCTCGTCCTTTCCTCATCCTTTCACCTTCTCCAGCCCCCTCCCTTTTTCCTTCCCCTTCCTTCCTCTTCCTCTTCCCTCCCTTCCAGACAAGCAACCCCAGTTTTGTCCCTGGATCCGTGCCCTGCATCCACCCCCCAGTCAGGATTCCCTCTTTGGCTCAGCCAGTCCCACACGGATTCGCCCCAAGCCAGCAGCACCTCCCATGGGGACAACCCTGGGGACCCCACAAATGGATGGGGACCACTCCACTGCATCCAGCACATCATATCCCTGCTCCCAGCCTGTGGAATGGCCCTGGAACTGTGGGAGGATGATCACGGATCTAAGTTGGCTCGGGGGGGGGTCCAGCGGGACCCCCAGACTGGCTCAGCCTTAATTCCAGGTAGGACCTCAGCATGGCATCCCTGTGGACACCTCGCACCCCGCTGGGATGGGGGCCGTCCATGGAGTCGGGAAGCGGCGGCGGGAGCTGTGCTGCGGTATAAATATTAAACAATAATTGTTAATAATTAATTCGCCCGCAGACCTTTGTTATTGTAGCAGATTTTGCCGGCGGCTCCGGGGCCTGGGTGAGTCAGAGGGGACCGGGAGAATGGATTGGGATTCTGGAATCCACCCCCCGCCCCTGCACTTGGAAAAGCACCCACAGCCCCCCCACCTCGGGATGAAAAGGAGGAAAGGGGATGGTGACCACAAAGAGGAGTTTTATAGAAATCCATTCAGGATTAGCTGAGGGTGGTGGGATGAGGGTGGGAGAAGGGTGGGATCCTGCCGGGGATTTAGGGAACAGGGCTGGGGGTCCCACCAGCACTCCCTCCATCCAAAGGCAGCTCCTCCATCGCTCCCGGATCACGAGGAGCCTGTGTATAAAACTCACATAGCAACTGTTGCCTAGGAGGGAATTTGGGACCAGCCCTTAATTTCAAACATTTATAAACCCCGGCTGGATAAGCTGCTGGGGGAATGGAAAGAGCTGGATCTGGCGGGAAGGGCTTGGGACCCCCTCCTCGGGATCCCGACCAGTTCAAGTGGGACGTGGGCTTACTGGGATCGGGGGTGACCCCCCCAAATGCTGCCTCAGCCCCCTCGGTGCTCTCTGATCCGACTTGGGAACGCGGTGACCCCTCTGGCTTATCCCGGAGCTTCCACAAACCCTTCGCTCCCTGCGGGGTCATCCCCAAGTTAATCTGCAGAGAGGGAATCAAAGGAGAAGGAGAGGAAAAGAAGCCACCACGGAGAGGGATATTAGTGAGTTCCAGGGGCCAAGTTCCTAGAGCCGAGGTGCCACCACACGCCCAAGCCTGGCATCACCCGGTGATCCCGATGGATATACCAGCGGGAATCTGCCCGGGGGTGCTCCCCGGGCACGGGGGGTGTTCCAGCCCTTCCCTCTGGGAACACTCATCCCTCAGCCATATCCCCAGGGCGGGGGTAGCGATTCCGGGGGCATCCCTGTGCACGAGGGGGTTCCAGCCCTTCCCGGTGGAAACATGGATCCCTCAGCTCTGTCCCCAGGCTGGGGGAGAGATTCCGGTGCCGTCCCTGTGTCCAGGGGGGTTCCAGCCCTTCCCGGTGGGAATACACATCCATCAGCCGTGTCCCCAGGCCGGGGGGGGCATTCCAGCCCCCCGACCGCTGCCGCCCTCAGCAGGAGTTCGATGGCTCGTTTTCCAGGCAATTAGCGCTTGGTTAATTAAAGAACCGGAGCCGCTCGGAGCTCCCGGAGCGTCCCCAGCCCTGGGGCGCGGTGTGGGGTATCCGCGCCGCTTGGAATGCTTGGAACGGGAATGCCACGGGGCGGGTGGGAACAGGGGGAGCACGGGGAGCAGCGTCGGCCTCGGGAGGGGGTGACAAGGTGACAACGTGGTGCTTGTTCACACCGCCGCTGTCTCTCCTTCCTTAAGTTTCCCAGGCTGCCAGCGCCGATCCAGCCGGGAGCAGGGAGACGGACGGGTGGGACTGGGGGGTCCACACCCCCAAATCCCAAATCCCACCTGCCCTTTGCTGGTCCTGCCTCGTCCCACGGGCGCAGCGAGGGGAGTATCCATGAGACGGAGATCCCACGTCCCCCTCCAAGGGTTTGGGTCTCCCTGTCCCGTCCCACGTGCTGGAAGAGCACCGCGGAGGCTGGGAAGGGGGTGGAACATCCCTGCGGCTCTTTCATCAGGATTCAATGCCACTTGAGGGATATAATTCCGCTTTTCCAGCCGGTTATCGATGAGGGGATTACCTGCCTCGCTAACGCCGCGGCTCTCCAGCAGCGGATTTGTGTGGAGTTGCGGGAGCAGGAGCCGGCTGTGCCGGGGGAGAGGCTCCCTGTTCTAAGGGGAGACGGTTCTGGATGCAGGGAGAGGGTCCCTGTGCTGAGAGGGTCCCTGTTCCAGGAAAGAGGGTCACGGTGCCGCGGGAAGAGGGTCCTGGATGCATGGAGAGGGTCTCCAGGGTGGATCCCTTCCCACACACACCTCTTGGCCAAGCAGGAGACCCCCCCACGCCCCCATGCCCACACCCTGCACCTTGGAGTGGGAGACGGGGGATATTTGGGAGCCGGGGATGGTGGCTGCGATTCCAGCCTGCTGCCACGTGCCCGTCCTCCTTTATCCGCCGCTCCCGCAGGCTCGGGATTAGCTGCCTCCGGAGCGGGAGCAAGC